ATGTCTTTGTAGAGCACTATATTGATCTTATGGTCTTCCACCTGAAGAGCACCTGTATTTCCCTCTTGATTTTCTCTCTTGATGGGGATAGAGAGAAAGGAACGGGACTGTAACTACGTTCTGTCTACGTGCTCTCAGAAGGGGACCATGACCCTTTATATAACCAAAATTAGGTTAATTACTTGAGTTTTAGTATTTCCAATTCGGCCCCTCATCAAATTAGAAATTACTTTATGGTCTCTACACAATATTATTTTCATGACATATGCCTTTAGCCAAAACTTTAATTTATTCAGATCACTTTATTATTTGGCTTAATAAATAATGACCCTAACACATTTAAATATGTATCATATATATACATGACCCAAATTTTGCCAACAATATATATATATATATATATATATATATAATTCAAAATATAAATTTTCTTATGTATATATCACTTTAAAAGTAAACAAAATATAATTTATACTATTCCTAGTTCCAAACATATTCCTGTTGAGATTTTTCACCTATAAAATTTGTTCTTATGTAAATACACTATCATCACAGTTAAAAATACATACAAAATATAAAAAATAAGCTAGTAATTTAATTAAGTATGCAAGATTCAAATGTGAGATATAATAATATTATTCAACTTTAAGTTTTTATATATCACATCACACGCCCATTCAGGCTCACATTCACGTCACACAAATATTATACATCTTCTGGAAGATTAGATATTGAAATAGATATCAGAGATCTATACTAATCATACCACAACTCTTCCAAGTACATAACATAAAGGTGTTAAATTCGGTATACACACTCATATGTGACCAGGGTATATTTCTAAATGATTTATCAAGACACGTTTTTTTTTTCATTAGAAACTTCCTTCAACTCTCACCACCTAATCATTTCATTTATTTGATTCCAGTTTTTAGTCTAGTCAGGATATCTCCTCAAGTCCCAAATTAATATTTATACATACAATACTGCACACATGACAATACCTATCACAACACAACATTTTTTTCAAAGCACATAATAACATTTAACACATTTCATGTTCATAACATGTATTTTAATAGCTTAAGACACACACATATAATTTCTCACGTTATAACAATTTTTTTTAATTTGATCTCTGCCTATTCTTTTGATTATAATTTTTTCTATAGACATCCTTTTTAATTACTTTTTATTTTATTGGATTCCTTATTTCTGGGGGTTCAATTTTCATATATAAAACATTAAATTTGGAGTTCATAGCTATTTTTTATGATTTTTAAAAAAATGTTAGCAAAATTTTGATAGAAAGAAACCTCAAACACTCGTCCAAAATCTGTTGGATGAATTTGAAAGAAGTGAGCAAATTTCAAATTCATTGAGTGAATTTCAAATTTGTTGAGTGAATTTCAAAGGGGCTTCGATTTTCATATATAAAAAATTAAATTTGGAGTTCAGAACTATTTTTTATGATTTTTCAAAAACTGTTGAGAAAATATGAAAGCGTTAAGTGAATTTAAAATCCGCTAAGCAAAATTTTGATAGAAAGAAACCTCAAACACTATCTAAAATTCGTTGGACAAATTGAAAGTGTTGAGCCAATTTCAAAAGGGCTTCGATTTTCATATATAGAATATTAAATTTGGAGTTTGAGGCTATGTTTTATGATTTTTCAAAAACTGTTGAGCAAATTTAAAATTGTTAAGTGAATTTGAAATTCGCTGAGTGAAGTTTTGACAAAAAGAAATCTTAAAACGGTCCAAAATATGTTGGTGAATTGGAAAAGATTGAGCGAAATTGAAAGCTGAGCGAATTTTAAATCTGCTGAGCGAAATTTTAACAAAGTGGAACTTCAAGCACTGTCCAAAATCCACTGGCGAAGCTGAAAGTACTAAACAAATTGCAAACACTTTCAATATTGCCTTAAATTCGCTAAACAAATTTAAATATGCTAGACAAATTTAAATCCAATGGACGGATTCGTGACAATAACAACTATATAATCTACTCAAAACCTTGTTTCTAATATTCCAAATCATATTAATTCTAAACATTATCCTTTATATCGTAAATCCATTAACTAATTTCAATATAAGAGCAATACATTCATATAAAAGACTATCTTTTTCAATTTCATGTAAATCAATTATACATTCACATTCAACAATTAACACATATGTAATCGCAGAATCTAAATTCTTGAATAATGTGACCAAGTTGCCTTCATAATACAAATCTTTTAGTCATAGTACTATGAAAATTGATAATAACTAACTTCCTTTATCTCAATACAATGCATCAAAGTTAAAGAACCACAAAAACTTCTAAATTTTCAAGAAGATAAATCATATTCACAAAAATCTCAAATTAACAAATTAAGAATATCACAATGCTCCTAAATTAGTTAAAATTCATTTTTTCATAACAAAGTCTATACGAGCTCCTAGGACTTATATATAGACCTAAACCTAAAACATGCAAAATGGTCTAAAATTAGGAAAGAAAAAACTTATTTTATTTAAAATTCTGATTTGGTAGAATTAATTTCCTCTCCTTCAAAAATATTAAGATGTGTTTGGATTTAGGAAAATATAAGAGTTAGATAAGAGATTTAGAGAAAAGACAAAAAAAAACAAGAATTACATAAAAATAATAATTTTATGATAATAAAATTTAAATATTTAAACCTTTTTATTTATAATTTATTTTAATTTAAACGGTAAATCTTTAAACTTACTTCTGAACTTTAACTCCCTTCAACTGAGTGTTCACGTACTCAACAAATATCAAGTTGTATATCAAGTTGTATTTTATAGCATGTGTGACTGGTTTTCAATTCATTTTTTCACCATTTGAAAGGTGATATAGTATGTGTGAGTCCCGTATCCATTTCTTTGCAATTCAACCAGAATATCCAAAAACAAACACGAACCATATCTGTACAAATTTGGGTCTGTATTTTTCTATAAACAGTGGAACAGTTGAAGCAAATAAAGGCCAATGACAATATTACTTAAAAAACTATAATCATTAATTAACAATAATAATAATTTAGCGACAACTTAAATTGTTACTTTCTAATTAACATCGCAAATTTTAAATAAAGAAAGGGATAAGATAGATTTTAATTATTTAATACAAATATGTTGAAACTAGACAAATGGTAAAATAAAAAACAATGAAAGCCCAATTTTTTATGTTTATTTTTTTTTTAATTTGAAAAATCAACTTCTATAACAACACTCTAAAAATATATATGTATTTTTGTTAATGTTTATCCTGATAATACCACATAGACATCACCATCACCTTCCCTCAAGAGACGGAAACCGAAGTTGCATAGATTATGAGAAAAATATTATAAACAAATCAACCAATTAATTTTTTTAATCCAATATTATGTGTATAAGTGGATTTCTATTTTTTTATTTTAATTTATTAAAGTTTAATGCATTTAAATTTTAAAATATAAATATTTATTTTTGAAATAATAAATTATTGAAGATAAATAATTAAGAAATACATATATAATTAAGAAGAATAGAAAAAGAAAATATAACATAAAAATATATATTATATTTTTTATCTAATAACATTAAAAAACAATTACAAAACAAATCTTTTATATATATATATATATATATATATATATATATTAAATGAATATTTAATTTCCACGACCTCAACAATTCAAAGTGCCAACTGGCTACTGACAAAAAAAAAAAAAAGACATTTATAATAATAGGGTTGCTTGCATGGTACCTTGGTACGGCCACCTCTTCCTTAGATCTTTTTCCATTTTCTATTACATGTTATAGTTCTATAGTGATTTTTGTTTAAGTTTTGAAATACTCCATGAGTTTTTTAAGCCTTAAAAGTCTTAGCTTATATGACTTCAGCATGAGATAAATAAAGTTTGATTAATTCTTTTCTTTTTGTAAAATATTTATAGTTTATATGTTATTTTAAAGGTTTCATCTTGAATTCTGTACATTAATTATTTAACTCTGGTGGTGGGTGGCACCTTTGATGAAAGAAATATTGAAAGATTATTTTCATGGTGAAAATTAATGGCAAAAAGCACAAATGGGGACGAAAAAGTGATTTTAACAAAGCATCACCGAATCATTGTCCTTCAGAAACTGTGTTAATGAAAAATATATCTTAGAGTGAAAGACCAGGAAACAATCTCACCCATCTTCAAAGTTTAGAAATGACATAATTTAAACCAAAAACAGACCAAAGAAAGGTTCATGTGAGTCTAGTTTAACACATTCTTCACACGTACATCCCATTTTTCTTTTGAATAAAAGTACACCATAACGCGTAAATGTGCGTTTGTTTTCATTCCAAAAGCGCGTTGACACTGTCATATCCAAGCATACGCATTACCCATATCACAAGGAACACACAAAAATAAAAACTGCATTAATTTCTCTTCCATTTCTCTCCTCTTCTCTTCTGCAAGCAAACCAACCAGCGTGGTCTTTGGGTGGGTGGTGTTAAATTGAAAATTGGAAATTGATGAGAACACAGACTCTACACACCTCCCCATACTCCACAGTCCATACCCTTTGAACATTGAATTAAGCTCTTTTGTTTTGTCCCCTAAACACCAAACCCTTCCAGCTGTCAACATTTTCACCTCATTATATTAATCAAATAAATAACATTACTTGTTATAAAATTATTCACTGCATTTAAATCATCGTGCCCCACCACCACCCCATTTATACTACCATCTACTAACAATTACCATTACAATCACCGTTTTTTCCACCGTACAGCCACAAGTATAGCAACAAAATGCAGTCATCAAAACTTAATTTGACTTGGTAAATTCAAATTTTAAAAGGATTTTTCCTAGACTAGCTGCCATCACTCAACTTCTACATATAGCCCAGCTAAGATTGAGCTATACTCAACAAAAGAAACTCGCTCACTCTCCTCTCTATCCCTCTTTTCTCTTTTCTTGTTGAAGTTTGAAAAACAAATACGCCATGACTATGACAGACGTCTTAAGTGAAGAACAGATTGTTGATTTTAAGGAGGCCTTTGGCTTGTTTGACAAAGATGGAGATGGTGAGCAAACTTTCTCCTTTTTTGTAGTGTCTATAATTTTCATAAACTGGGTATCTGTTATTCAGTTGAATTCTTTTTTAGATTGACACAGAATTCTCATCACTGTCATATATATTGTTTATGAATTTTGTGCATCTTCTTAGGCTGCATTACTGTGGAAGAACTGGCCACTGTCATTCGGTCATTGGATCAGAACCCCACAGAAGAAGAACTCCAAGATATAATAAGGGAAGTCGATGCAGATGGCAATGGAACCATCGAATTTGATGAGTTCTTGAGCTTGATGGCCAAGAAAGTGAAAGTAAGTAATTAAGTTCCTTATTGTTCATTCATTTTTATGTACATAATATTTCAATAACTCATATAATATTTTTCATATTTTCGTGTGAGTCGCCAAAGCTACAAATACTTTTTTCATTGTACAATAACCAAATACTAAGTTAAGTGCTGTGTTCTTTTTCACTTAGGACACTGATGCAGAAGAGGAGCTCAAAGAGGCTTTCAAGGTTTTTGACAAAGATCAAAATGGTTATATATCAGCTAGTGAGGTATGCTTTTTATTTAGTTTCCTTTCTTTGATACAACGCCCTTTGCAAATATTCATTATATCCTCGATATCATATATATTTCTAAAATTTTGATGAAGTGAGGGTTTCTGCTAACCTGAATAATGCAGGTGGGTCAAGATATGTTGCAAATTTACTTTGCAGCTCTCTTTTTATGAAAGAGTTGAAACTCTTGCCATTTTCTTTTCTTTTTTACCGATAGAGAGAGTTCCCAATTTTTCCCCTCTTTGAAATATACAAGTTTAAATTCTAAGAATGAGAAAAATTACAAGTTTTTAAAAGCTCACGGATTCTTCTCATAACGAATAACTTATGAAAACTAAATTGATTATTTGAAATATCTAAAATGAGAAATACAATAATTTATTTATATTATTTAAAAGATATTTAATTTTATTTTAAAAAATAAAAACTTCTAATATCAAATAATAATCATCTAAAATATTATCCATATCAAAATATTCTAATAAATTTTTAAATATTTTTTATTTAATTTTATCTTAATAAATTCTTAAATTAATTATTTTTTATTATATTTTTTAATTTAATTTTATCCAACATCTTACCAAATGATCATTGACCGACTTTTTTTTCACATTTAAAATAACATGATTTTTTTTAAGTATTATATCTAGATTATTAGACATGCAAAGTTTTGCAATTTTAATATGAAAAACTAATAACTAGGACAGTAGACCTACGTTTTCGCATGCAATGAATATTAGCTGTTTGATTAAAAAAATGCATCGGGGTTGACATTTGAGTGTTGTAGAGAATCTAATTTCTTTATATTTATGTAACTAAGTTATACAGATATTTAGTTATACTATTACATATGATAGTAGTAAAAGCATTTTCTGGGTGTGCAGCTGAGACACGTGATGATCAACCTAGGAGAAAAACTAACCGATGAAGAAGTGGAGCAGATGATTAAAGAAGCAGATTTGGATGGTGATGGGCAAGTTAACTATGATGAATTCGTCAAGATGATGATGACTGTTCGATGAAACACTCTCACCTAATTTCATTTCCTTCCAATCTTCCCTCCCAACAAAAATATTGTTATTATTGTTTGTTTGTTTTATTGTATTCTACTTGTACTTAGCAACCACCAAGTACTAGAGTGGCTAATTAACCATAATGTTCTCTTTGATCCATTTCAACTCCAAATTAAATTACTATTCCTGTAATTTTTGTTCAATATTTTCCAGTAAGAAAGCTATTGTAAGAACATATTTACCATTAAATATGCATGACTTTAATATTCGTGTAAAAACTTAGGTAATAGTACTAAATATGCATGACTTTTTATAAAGTTCAAGATTTTCTTCTTACAAGTTAAAGATATTTTTTTACCAGTTAATATAGTAAAAGATATAGTTTTCTACCAAGACTTGATTAGATTATTGATGAGATTTAACATCCAAAATGGTATTAATTATCTTAATCAGTGTAATTAACTAATTCACATATCAGAGGAAAATATGTATAACCAACATTTTGTTGGCATACTATCAAAATTTCTAACAATAAAACTTTCTAAAAGAATTGTTTTTATTTGACCAAAATATACCCTACAACCATTTATACATTTACCAAGTGTGGTGTGTTTTGAATTCCCTTCCTGGTAGAATTTTTCTGAAAAATGGACAATGAACCTGCACATATATTTAATGCTAGATATTAATTATAGTTTTCCATAATCTAACTTGGAGGAGACATGTATCATTGACTAGGGATCTAAAACCCTTTTGAATACGTTTTAATTTTGGACTTTGACTCCCAAAAAAAAATCAATCCTTGGAGTGACCACGTGTTTGAGACTTGGTAGTGGCTATAACATAGACCGTTCTTCTGAGTTGTTATACACCAAAAACTTTATCTTGAGAATTTATGTCCAAAGATATCATCAACACATAAAACATTCTGGTTAAATATGTTGAAAATTCACCCCACTGAATCAAATGGTACAAAATTGTTCTAGTTTAACTGTTATTAGAGTTTAAGTTTTGGACATGTAGCTGAGTTAAGTACTTCATAGAAATTTCACTGTATATATTACTTTTCCTCAAGTCAAACAGCATAGATTCTAGTAAAAAAAATGCCTTTAAAAAAGTATGGAAGTAAAAAAGTAAGCTGTTTCTTGCTATGCAGTCCCTTCATCATTTTATTTGTCAGATGTTACTAACAGCAGAGACCATTAAAATGTGACACTAATAAGTTTTAAGCCTTTTTTATACTATTACAGTGATGTTACTTCTGCTAATTGGGCCTTTAGTGAGTGAGTGACACAAAGTCAGGTTCTTACAGCCTCATTTACAGGACTAGGCAAGTAATTTGTGAATCACATCATATTTCAACAACCAGGGAATGAGACATACAAATCATGAATAAGGAAATACATTGCACCTATAATAAAAACAATATCAAACACTATATTGACAATTTCAAAATTTCTCAACCAATATGTTTGAAATCATGGATTATTAGTTTTTAATTGGTTTAAGTTAATGAAATCAAACATTATCTAGTTAATAAGAATAATGCTAAAAACAGAGCTTTTTCTTCGTGCAGAACAGTTTCACATACTTGGCTATTACTTTGAGGCATATTGTCGCTCGACTAAACTCTATTAGTAATACATGTTGGTTATTGTCTGCCTCAGAATCACTCGACCAAGCTCTATCAGTAACATCATGCTGGATAATTGTCTGTCTCAGAATCACACATTTCTTAGTAGGCTAAGTCCATATCTATGTTCTTGGTCATGGATATGACTTTTGCACAAACTTTCACCGATAATAGTACTTTGATTTAAGAGTAGATAAACATTGGTAAAGGAAAGGGAAGACACATGAAGAGCTTCACTTTTATCACAGTGCTAAGGTTCAAATTAGTTCCCCTAAAACAATAAAAATGTAGTATAATGAGAATCAGAGTATCAATCTAGGGAAGTAGTGAGAATATGTGAATGAGCTATGAATGATTCAATGAGAAATGAACGAATGAATGAAATATATAATGATAAAATGAACTAAAATGAGGTTAAAATCTAATATGTAATGAATGAAAAAAATACAAAATACAAAATGGATGAAATTGTGCATAATCACAAATCTGACCGATATGAACAGTAATACGGGTAAGAAAGTCAAAATAAAAGTGTGAAAGAATATCACGGTCAAAATGAAAATATGAAGAGATGTCTCGGTCAAAGATTGAATGTAGTGTATAAAATATATGAATGACCGATGAAAATAAAATTATTTTTGAGTTTTGAGCTTTTAAAATGGAAGATGACCGAATGAGTGTGTGACTAGTACGCGTGGTTCAAAACATGACCGAAGTTAATAGTGTCACTCCATCAGAAATCAAAATAGTGATAAATGCAATGTGCGAATGATGGAATGAATGCACCAATGAATATTTAGGTATTTTTTCAATGTTTTCAAGGGGATTTGAAGTGCAAGAAATTAAAACATGAATTAAAATACACCTAAGCTATTCTACACTAAGCTAGTACATGAAAGTAAATCTAACAATGTCATATATCTATTCGAACTCAAAACTAAGGATCTAAAGCAGTTACAGAGACATTAAAACAGTAAATCAAAATATTAAAATCTACTTAACGTGGTTGCAAGTGACTTAGAATTAGTTTGGAAGTGCTACAACCTTCTCAAAGCATAAACCGTGGATGAATCCTAATTAACTCACCCCTCAAAAGACATTTGAGTGACCTGCACTTTTGTCCAGTTGAAAGAAACTTTCCCTCACCAATTAGAACTCACAAACAACCATGTTTCAAAGCATATAAACGGCAGAAATCATGAAGAAGGCATTGTAAAGTGCATGAAACTTAAAGAAAACAAGAAAGAAAGAACGCAAATCTTGGAGCATATGCAAAGTCATGCCTGTGGATCTTTATTCAGTAAAAACTATTCTAAATCATGGAAACATTAAAGAAAGCAATAAAGGATAGTGGAAGAAGAAGATCCAGATCCAAAACAAGAAGAACAATGGCAGAAATGAAGAACATACTTGAAAGCGTGCGTCACAAGCAGAGTAGAACCCATGGTGTGCAAGAGAGAACTTTGAAAGGAAATGAACCGAATTGATTTAGATATGAATTCTGAAACTTCAACTACACTTTTATGACATTAAGTTAATCCTATTTATGTTCTAACTAATGTTCAATTACATAATACAAAGCTTAGAAACGAAGGTGATCTAATAACTTGAGAGGGAGCTCGAATAGGCGTACTAAGTTGGCTTCAGTGTAGTTCCGCGAACTTCAAACATTTTCACTATTTTCAATTTTTGTCCAAATTAAATGATTTTGGTCTCCTTTGAAAGCTTTTTGAGTTGACTTTAAAACGCCATAATTTCTATTATTTTAGGAGGTCTAGTGAATTTAGGAGACTTAAATTACTAAAGCATGTCCATTGGACTGACCTGGTGCGCTTAACCTCTCTTTGATAGTTTATGTAAAATCTAATTTAGCTCCGAATTGAATGGTTCTAGATCCTCTGAAAAGTTGAATGTGTCTAGTTTACAATACTTCCAGAATCATGATTTTAGGAGCTCTGTAGAAAAAATGATAAATAAAACAGTGGACTAATGTTAGTACCGTATATAATAAAATATGGCTAATTTACTATTTTTATGCAATGTTTTGTATTAAGGCTTCCAAGGGCCTAATAATACAAATCATGGTTAATTAAGCTTTGTTAACACATTATAAATAATAACATTTATTAGCTACTTTAGATATACTGAAAATCAGTCACATCAAATACTACATACTTAGCTCTTTGCAGTTTCATGTTTTATAAATCAATGAAGCAAAGTGAGCATATAAAAATTAACATTTGTTGGTCTTTTTGCAAGCATATCAATATTATCAATCGCAATACAATATTTCAATTAAATAAAAGTCAATCCCACAAGGAATGATTTCACTGAAAATTCCGAATCATATGCTTACTAAGTGTATTGACACAAAATTAGTTTTTCATAAATTTTTGGGTTGAAAATAAACGGTAAAGAGCTATAAAATATATTTAGAAAAGATAAATTATGAGAACTTAGGATTGAATTGATTATTTTTCTCTTCTTTGTATAATGGCTAGGTCAAATTTATAACATCAATTAACCTATCAATGTCGATATCACCTACTCAAATCATTCACATTGATTCCTCAAACATGAAATTCATAAGAAAACCTTATAAACATAGATTCCTCATATATTTAATAAATTTTTCAGCATTAGGTTTAGGGTGTTAAGCAATTGAAACATCCATTACCATTCCTAGCAATCAATGTAGCAAATATTCTTAACATAATCAAATATTTCAAGATATATTTTCAATATATATGAACATCAAAGATAAAAGCATTAAAAGACACAAATGATAAGAATATCAACATCAAGAACATAGATTAATATATCAAAATATCACCAAGATACAAAAGAGTTCAAAAGAAATGCACCCAATCTTAAGAGAATAAAGTTAGTCACTCATGATGGTCATTATAATAATCCAAATGAAGAAGAATTTAAGAAAAATTAAAGATTAGATGAAAACTGGAGCAGCTGTCGCGCTTCTTTTCTCAAAACCTAAAATTATCTCTTCTCAAAATGTATCTTATCTTTTTATAGAAAATTTTGAGTCACGCTCAAGCGGAACATTCGCTCAAGCGAAAAATGATGATTTTCACTCAAGCGAGAAATGTTCACTTGAGCGATTGAATTCCCGAAAGCTTTAACGTATTTTTGCTCAAGCGAATAAATGTTTGCTTGAATGAGTGACTTCTAGAGAGTTTCAACGTATTTTCACTCAAACGAGCATCCGTCTCGCTCGGGCGAATCTCAGGATGAGAATCTTCTTCCTTCTTTCAATTTTTCTTCAATTATCTTGATAATTATGATCCTTGCTATTGTGCCAAGGTATTATGCAAATTCATCATACATTGGAAGAAAAATATATTAGAATCAACATATT